TTTGAATACCACTTTCGTATTGTTTGAGGATGAGGCAAATTCTTAAAGAAAGTATGTCTGACATAATTATATGGAGGTGTTGAATAAAATAATAATGTGCAGGAAAATTCTTTCAAGGCTGGAGGATAAAGGTTTTTTTTCTTCTTGGTTAGGAGATTGTGGATAATTTCGGCTATTATTGGACACGTAGAAAGCTGAAATAAAATAAAAAATCAAATTATTTTTTAGCACATATATTTGCTTACAATACGGACTACATACAAAAATATATTAAATATAAACATTATTACTAAAAAAAGTATCGTATTCACATAATATAGATATAGATATTATAATATAGATATTATAATATAGATATTATAGTATAGATATTACGTACTACAACAATACATAAACGTTATATTAATATTTGAAAATCGTTCAAACGTTATGATTGTATTATGTAAGTACATATTATAACGACAGATTACATGTATCTTAACCCTTTGAAGGCAGAATACGTATATAATGTGTTGACAAATTAGTTGACAGATTTTGCTAAAATTTGCTGCTAAATTGCTAACTTACATTTATGGCATTGGAAACATCATTCGAAATTAATCCATTTTCTTGTGATCTAACAATCTTTGTAAATTGTTTACTTTCTTATCTAAGCGATTGATTCTTTTTTTAAAGTGCCTTTTTTTTTTTTTTTTTATCAAAATTAAAATTAAAATTTTTTTCTTTTTAGCAAAATTATTGTCGAGTTGCCAACTAGCATTAGAAGTAAAATCTTCTCTGCGTAAATCTCCGATGTTTCGAAGATTATACAAACGTTTTGCATTTATTTTTGGCTCATTTGCATTCCTGAAATATCATCCATATACATCATATAATAATTTTATTCTACTATTTATTTTCTTAAATAATAATGAACAACAAACCTTTTTAATATTGATTGTGAAGTATTTTCTGTGGAATTAATACTAAATGGCGAATCATTTATTCCACACTCTCCAATATTTTCTCTGAAATCACAGTTATCAGTCATTTGATTTTCTGTAATTTCAAAGTTGCTGCAATTTTCTTTATCAGAGACAGTTAAAGGATTATTTTCCTCAGTCCTGTGTATTGTAATAATATTTTTATATTAGTCTTATCATTGAAATTGTAAATTACACATTAATACATATATACTTCATTACATTGTAATTGAAAATTTAGAATATTAAAATATTTCAAAAGAAAAGTTACCTGTTGGAAGGAGTAAGTAATAAAGATGGAACAGCTCCTGGTAGTAACATTCTTTTAATGTTATTAATTCCAGTATAACAAAAATTTTCTTCTTTGAAATGCTTGCTACAAACTGTAGCATATTGCTTTACTTCCCTGCCTATATTTTTAAACCATTGTAGCTTAATATCTTCTTGTTTGGGAATTCTGAAATATAATTCTACTTTTATAAAAAGTTTTTACTGTTACAGTTTATATTAAGCTGTAAAGTAAGCAAAAAATTATAATATTGAACTGCGTTTTGTATTTATTAATTAATATAATATTTGTCAAGATACTTGCTTATGGAAAGAAACATCGTCAATAGCACCAGCATGTAATTTGCAAATGCAGCATACGTGAACCATTTTAAAATAAATATATTTTTCGAGCTGTCATATATTTGATATCTCGTGCGAGGTTAGAACAGTTCTCCAGTTCTCTCTTCTGTTCTCTCCCATGCACTCTCCTGTTTTTTTTTCACATTCCCACCAACTGGCGTGTTAGAATGAGATACAGCTGCTTTTCTGGAGCGTCCCGATTGACCACGGTACGATTGGACACAACCAACCGATGAAAAGAATTATCTAGTGAATTACTAGGTCGAACCAATCATTACAATCTGTGTCCAATCGTATCGTGATCAATCGGATCCCACTCCTACTTTTCATATTGCTCTCTCTCTCGGGTGTTGCGGATAGCGCCTCTTACAGGACGGCGCAGTCTATTATATATGTCTATGCATATATCTAAGGCATAAAACGTGTGTGTTCTCTAGAATCTTCTTCTTCTTTCTTCTCTCCTTGAATAGGAACCATAGGGAGCGGTGCACTTGGACACGGTGCATTTGGACACAGCCAATCACAGCACCGTATAATTAGAGACATTTGTAGGGTCCCTTGGAACAGCGACTTGTGATTGGACTGTGTCCAATTGCTCCGTGTCCAACTGATATACACCCGGAACCATAAGGTAAATCCACATGAACTCATCCAAATTCCTTGGAAGTAAAATGTATTTGTCAGGTAGCCGCGAAGAGTGGAAGTACTAGGGAAATTAATAATCCCTAGCATGGTGCCACACGCCTAGCTCTGGCCGCTGAAATCAGGCCGGTGGCCGCTCTCGTGTTTCTCTCTGATAAGGGCCATAGGAGCAGGCGTACCAAAAGAAAGAGAGAGCGTAATCAAAAGAAAGAGAAAGCGTAACCAAAAAGAAAAGAGAGAAAGAGAGAGAGAGAGAGAGAGAGAGAGAGAGAGAGAGAGAGAGAGAGAGAGAGACTATGGCTGGGTAGCGATCATGAATCTTTTCTTCTAGTGTGAACTCGTGAAAAGTGAAAATTTTGTAATGAACTCGTGAAAGATGAAAACCTTCACTAAACTCATGAAAAATGAAAGATTTAACATGAATTTGTAAGTAAAACAAATATAATATATTCAAGACAACACCAATTTGCAATGGACATCTTTAGAATTTTTTCAGCATGTTTTTAAAACATAGTGATGTCTTTAGAACGTCCCTTGGAAGTCTGCTTGTCTGGGATTACTTTAGGATAAATTATGAAAAGATAAAATATTCTGTTAATATTAAAATTATAAATCTACAGAAAATATATTTCATATAAAATAATACATTATATGTATTATATGTATTTATTGCATGTATTTTATGTATTATTTTATATTTCATATAAAATAATATATAAAATACATGCAATAAATATATAAAATAAACTTATATTTTACTTATTACACACAATTTATAATATATTACACTTTAACTTTCTGATGCATACGTATCTTAACTTTGCAAACTTCGTCGGTATACTTTCACTGTCTATACATAATCACGCTTCAATCGGCTTTCGTTGTTCATTTTTAATGGACGTAGGATTCTTATGTCAAATGCCAATTGTCGTATAACCATAAAAATTAAAGACACTATAAGAAATTCTACTCACTTTGTACATAATATGCGAGTGTAGTATTATATTATTTTTCACATTTAAACCACATCACTTGATGCTTAAAACTTTTCATGGAAACTTACACAATTTATATGTAAAGAAGAACATATACGAGCAAACTCACGTGAAATATTTCACGTTTTGAGAATTCACCTTTCACGGTTAACGTTCGTTTCGTTTATTAAATTTACTCAGATTGTATTATTATATTATAACTATAAATTTAAGTTGTATAATGCTTATTAATGTGTTATATATTACATTGTGTATACTGTAATTACATTTTAATTTTAATAATCTATATTACATAAATATTGCTTTCCACATTTTCATTGTTCACTTTTCATATTAAATAACTTACAGTGAAAAGTGAAAAATGAAAATGAAGTTTACGTGAAAGATTCATGATCGCTACCCTGTCTTTTCAGCTGCATTGTTGAACTGATGCAATAAGTTAAAGTGAGACAAATATATGTTTTCTCACTCTACTTATTGTACTAGTTCAGCAATGCAGCTAAAAAAAATAGACTATATATATATATGATATCAACAAACATTATATTGCGTATTACAGTACACGAAGTATCAGTAAACATCTTATCTTCGATTTTAAGAAAAATATATTCAATCTTTTTTGTGTATAAAAAATTCTAAAGGTAAGAATTTTCGTTTGTCTAAAAAAGTTTTTGGTAAGTATTCAGTTTATCTTCCTCACCTCCGATGTCGATGAAAATAGGCTTAATCGACGCATTTTTGCATGAGAAACAACTGTTTCCTCTGAAAAAATTGTCACTTTGCACCGAGTAGTGAGATATTAGCCAACAAAGTTGACGGCGCGTTAGGTTAGGAAATCTGTCATACCAACGATGGGTGTGTTCGGGGAGACGCTATTTTGCGGTATGAGCGTCCTCTGTCCTTGTTCAACTTTCAAGAATAAACAAAGACAGAGCACACTCATTGCATCTCCCCGAACGCGCCCGATATGTAGCGACATGTGCATGCCTCGTGGCATCATGCGCGTGCTCCGTGCCATATAAAAGTAGTGCGCGAATTAGAAATGTATTAAGGATGTATCTGAGCTATATAAAAATAGTACCAATTCGATAAAACTTTGAGTAATTTTTCCTTAATTATTTATAATATATTGAAAAAAATTTCAAGTCGATTCACTAAATCGTTGAAGAGTAATTATTATGTTAATTTTACACGTGTTCTTATGGCAAAAGCAACTTTTCTGAATATAATGAGTAAAAACGTATAGAAAAAATAGTACTAAAAATTTAAGTATTTTTATACATATAGATCCTGAATTATCGGAACTATTTGCAGAATTTGATTAGTTTTCACAACACGGTTTCAGAGAAATTAATTTTTATTTGTGACAATCTTGCGATTGTCATAAGGAGTTAGTAACTGGACTGTGGAAATGCGGCAACATTGCAATCAGCTTGTATGTCAAACGAATAACCTATAAATTAGTATAATAAAGTTACGTCGTAAATTCTTGTTTTGTCTACATGTTTCATACAGAGGACAAGAATACAAATTAAATAATTTCGATGAACAATAGGATAAGTGTGAAATTTGAGGCTTTTATTGTTTAATCTAACCTGCCTGCATAGTGCATTACTGCCAACGTACAAGCCACAAACTATATGGTACGCTGTTGCTAGGTTTAACTTTTTTCATTAAATATTTATAATAACAACAAATAATATTGATAGTTATTGTTAAGACCATGCATACCTGTTTTAACTTATCCCAATTATTTTTTCTCTGTTGCACTGATGGATATTGATGTTAAATAAATTTAACGAAATTTAATGTTCTAAAGTTGAATTCAGGGCATTTTCCCTGCCAAAAGTTTTATTATAGAAAGTTGAAAAAAAGCAAATAAAAGTAATAAACTGTTGAGAAAGTAAAAAATAACTTTTTAAATAAGAAATATATTATGTTAGCCACTATTTATATCACTTATCACTAGGTTTACAACACGTTTGAAGCAGATATTCAAATTTTTTGTTTTTCAAGCACTTTTGTCACCGATTGTATCTCAGATACATCCTTAAAACATGCATAAATAAAAAAGTATTATTGAAACACTTATATACGAACTAGGGGTCCAGGGGGGTTTGGAGGGACAACCCTTATAGAAATATCATACTAAGAATCATTGATAATTACTTATTTTCAGTATTAGAAATACTGGATAATAAGTAATTATCAATGATTCTTAGTATGATATTTCTATAAGGGAAAGCCCCTCCGGTTTGGTAAAAGTAATATTCTAAAAAAAAAAAAAAAAGCATCTCGCATAGTGTTAAACATGTGTTGCTTTTAAATGCCATTCATACGTCCTACCTTGCATAGGGATCTTGCTTGTCTTTTCAGTATCCATTTTAGTATATAGTAGACTCATAGATTTAGTAGGGCGAAGATTTAGTAAAACATTCCACCTTGCGTAGGGGTCTTGCTAATCTTTTCGATATTAACAATTTTTAGTATGTCATTTATTTAGTAAGGCAGAGATTTTATAGATATAATATCTGTAGCAATATGCAAAAATACGCAAATGTAACATATGTGTGTACTTATAATGCATTGCTTACATTTCTATGAATATATCTATTAAATTTTCGCCTTACTAAATGTATGAGTCTACTAGTGTTAAACGTGTATTGTCTTTGTATGCCATTTATATGTCCTACCTTGCGTAGGGGTTTTGCTTATCTTTTCAGTATCCATTTGCTGTGTGTGTGTATATATGTGGTGTGTGTGTGTGTATATATGTGGTGTGTGTTTGTGTATACACACTAAATGGAGCAAAATAAGACGTATAAATGGCATGCAAAAACACACGTTTAACACTAGTAAACTCATACATTTAGTAAGGCGAAGATTTAACAGATATATTCATAGAAATGTAAGCAATGCATTATAAGTACACACATATGTCACATTTGCATACTTTTGCATATTGCTACAGATATTATACCTATAAAATCTCTGCCTTATTAAATAAATGAGTCTACAAGATACTAAAAATTGTTAATACCGAAAAGATTAGCAAGACCTTTACACAAGGGAAAATGTTTTACTAAATCTTTGTCTTACTAAATCTATGAGTCTACTACCCTACTGAAAAATTTCTGTTAAGATAACAATAGAATTCCCAATTCAATTCTCAGTTGAATTCTCAATTGAATTCTCAAATGTGGTTTCTGCAAAAATTCGCATGTAAGATCTCAATTGAGATATTTCTGATATCTGATAGAAATAATTTATTGAAAATATAATGAACTTTTGCTGAAATGCTTTTGAAAAGCATTCACAATTTTAATCTAATTTCATTAAAATTTCATTATAATTTCATTAATATTTCGATAATATTTTATTAAGAGAGTAGAAAAATTCAGTGAAAAATTATTATTAATTAAAATATTTAGAAAAGTATAATGAAGTATTATTTTGTCTAAATAATAAAAAAA